AGAGAGAGAGAGAGAGAGAGAGAGAGAGAGGGAGGGTCAGAGAGTTGGACGTGGAGTGAAGGAGGAGGAAAAAGAGACGGCTAACAGAAGAACTTTTTTCCACAACAGCAGATCCTGGAATGTTGGTGGAAGGTGCCACATAGCTCCAAATATTTGTTGCTCGGTTGGCACGGCAACAGGACAACCAAAACATTTATTAGCAAATCCCTGCGAATGATACCGGCGAGCGAGGGAAAGGAAACACTGAGAATTGAGACATGGGAAAAAAGTATATCATTTAGAAAATAAATGGGTTGAACATTCAAAGGGGGGAATCAGAGAATGAGAGTGGTAGACAGCTATGTACCGCTGATTCCTCCCTTAAGCCTCTCCCAACCTAGCAGCAAACAAACACTTACTTCACACACACACACACACACACACACACACACACACACACACACACACACACACACACACACACACACACACACACACACACACACACACACACACACACACACACACACACACACACACACACATGGGTCTCTGGTGTCAATAATACAGAGTATCTGATACACAGCACAGAGTTCCAATGTGGAAAACAAATGGATGACATTAGTCCTGTCATCTGAGTCCAGTATTTTCCTTTTAATTTAACCACAAGTTAGTTCTGAAAAAACGAATAATAGATTTTACCCGTACAAAGTTACATTTATTAAATATATTACAGATGATTTAATACACTCAGGAGTTTTGTTGCTAAAGCCTGGTATGACCATAGAAATGAATAAAGTAGGCAAAAGTAGGGTAAATATTTCTGTGTAACTGATATTACTAATATTAGTCAAGATGATCCCGTATTACTTCTGCTACTCTTAATATTACACTATGTTTTAGCATTTGCCATTGTGTCATAAATGCTGAAGTGTGCGGCCACATACGCTATTGATCAGAAAAAGTACGAGGCTTGCCTGAAAAAACATTTGAAAAAGTGAAAAAACAAATTATCTGGAAAGAGTCGTTGAAGTATGTCACTGTAATTGACAGCTGTCTCTCAATCAGAAAGAATAATGTTCTATGGTCTTAGTGCTGTATAAGGTTTTATCCCTCGACCAACAGCCAGACATCCCTCAAAGTCTGATCCCCCTCCCCTACAACCATAACACCACTCAATATTGATCTGTGATCAGGTTTCATGGCTGTCTCAGAGGAGGGTGGTGAGGGTGATCTGTGTGAGAGTGTGTACAGTGCACATGTGAGCATGATACAGAGACAGAGATAGAGAGAGCAAAAAAGAAGTGAAAAGAGAGAAGTCTGTTTTTGTAATAGCTGGATGTCTCTTGTTTCATAGGACTGCAGTCAGCAAGATCAGATTCCCTTATACTTTATTGGATATACTTATCATATATCCAATAAAGCCTAAATATATAGTTTATGCAAGATTTTCATCGGGCCGTCAGTGCTTTTTTGTAAAGCATCCAACCTGTATTCATGTTCTCTCTTCCTCAACATAAAAAAAGGACAAATTCTTCTTTCTTTTGGTCTTTATCGACCTCAGATTGAATCTGCTGCTCGACTTAAAACAATCTTTCAGTCCTGTCACTCCCCCCGCTCCTTCTTCTCCCTTTACCTTTTATTGCCTCTGAAAAGCCAGGCTAGAATAACCAGCAGTCCAAACACACACTGACAGCCTCCCAGTCACACTTGCACACACAACACACACAAACAACACAAAGGTAGCTCAAGACTAAAATAAAAACACACACCTCGTGCTCCTCCAGCTTGCAGAGGTAAATGGAGTGGAACAGGTTAGCAGTGCTGCCTACAGTGTCCCACCTGTACAAACACAGTGCTTGATCATGGCTCAACACACACACACACACACACACACACACACACACACACACACACACACACACACACACACACACACACACACACACACACACACACACACATAAATAGTCCTCCGTCTGGATCGAGGCACTGGTGGGTTTTAATAGCTATCGATCATTCTCCCTGGTGACACACTCACACACTCACCTCCCTGTTACAGGTTGAGCAGAGCCCGCTGAGGACTCAAACAGGTCTCTGAGAATGTGTACACACACACACACACACACACACACACACACACACACACACACACACACACACACAGGCTGCATGTGTGCACACAAACTACTACGCTGTGTCCAAAAGGCCATTTACTTCGCCTGCTCCTATGTGTGCATGTGTGTTTTAGTGCTTCTGTGCCTCTGAGTGTACACTACTGTGTGTGTGTGTGTGTGTGTGTGTGTGTGTGTGTGTGTGTGTGTGTGTGTGTGTGTGTGTGTGTGTGTGTGTGTGTGTGTGTGTGTGTGTGTGTGTGTGTGTGTGTGTCCTGCTGTGGCTCACTTCGACTTTCTTTCTAGATGAGGTTATTTAATTTACATAATGAGGCCCAGACTCACTCTCATAGATTAAATTACTCTGCAACAACAAATAAAAACGCATGAAGACAAGCAGCACACAAAACCATACAAATCTCAGTCTATGTAACCCTTTAACTGAAGTTGTGTTCTTGCTTCTCTCTGTTAGCTACGACAAAACAGCATCTGTGGCCCAAAAGCAAAGTCAAAGAACCTGCAGTGTGCCCACCCTTACCCAATGATGTCATTGTACACTGGCCGGGTGAGTTACGGTTCGCTGAAAGGGTCAAAAAGAGGGAGAGACGATCGATATTCCATATGATTCTGTACAATAAATCTAAGATGGGATTAGTCTGGGTAGTTAGTGACGATTAATTGTCAAATCTAATAAAGTCTTTTGTGGCTGAGGGTGCCAAAGAGGCTGCAGGGAATCATGGTTCATTTTATGGGCAAATTAATTAAAACTGCAAAAAACCCTGTCGGAGGCAGGTATCGAACACTCATTCCACACTTGGTGAAGGGCGTAACAATGAAACATCACTCCGGGAGATTCACTGTAAGTGTGTGTATGTGTGTGTGTAGTAATCAAACACAATGATTCCTGCTTTTATACCATGTCGTAAATCTAGAAGGTAAAGAGGGACGTTTGTCATTTAGCTGCGTCTTTCCTTTTTCATTAAGAAACGGCTGAGATGTGTGTGTGTGTGTGTGTGTGTGTGTGTGTGTGTGTGTGTGTGTGTGTGTGTGTGTGTGTGTGTGTGTGTGTCTCTTTCTTTCTATCTCTATGTGCTTCTCTCAAACACACACATGCTCTCAAATACACACAATTATTGTGAACCAACTTGACTTGAACATGGGACACAATAAAATCTAACAAGTTCATAAAAGTTCAATTCATCCATTTTCCCAGGACTATCTCAAAACACTGACCTTTTTGGTGTGTACTACAGATGTAGTTTAACAGAACGAGAAGTGGAAAAGAACAAAAGAAACAGAAAGGGGCTCTTCCATATCATTGTCTTGTCCTGGAGTGTAAATCCATATGCAGGCTATGTATTCTCTTTTTACATCTTATTAGGGGGACGTAAATTGGTCAACATTCCTTCTCTATCATTTACAAAAGGTTTCTCAACATGTTTCTTCAGACAGATATCATTTTGGTTTGGTTAAGTTGTCATTTATGGTAGTAACTATTTATAGTACTACAACTTGAAGTGGAACAATCTAAACCGTTGTCTCTGCTAACAATCTCAACCTTACTTCATCTATTTCAAACCATTTATGTACTTTAATCTAACTACCATCTATTTATCATTTACTTTAAACAGTTTTCAACCTCTCTACGAGCATATAGTTTTCACACACTTGTAATCAAACATGTGGTGCTCAGCTCTTTGGACTCATGTGGTTCTTATTTTATAGTAAATCGTAAAGTAAATTTCTTTTTTATCAAATTATTTGAGCTTCATAGTGTTTCCATGTTCCCTGTGAGATTAGAGTACCTCTGGTTTGTTATCGCTGATATATCAAATTCACATTGATTTAAATATTGGTGCAAATATCCTCTGTTTTGCTTTCCACAAATACATTTTCAAATGCATGAAACTTACAGTAAAAGTAGACCGATATGTGTTTGCTTAAAAGCCAGGCTGACGTACAATCTCCACAGCTGGTCGCTTTTCTTTCCTTCACATTACAGCTGAAACAACAATTGTTCTGACAGGGTAAGACCATTGTGAGTGTGCACTGTCTCAAAAGCTTCAACGGTCCGTCTCCCGTTCTCTCTTATACACCTTGCAAACCTCAAGAGATTTTCAGTGTGACGTACTGACTCCCCAAAAAGTTTTTTTTGATTGTCTTTACATGTGTTCATGTCCTTTGTACTGCAGTGCATTGGCCAGTCCTTTAACTTTTAATGATACCGACCCAAACACGGAAAGCACTCAAATTTGACTGAAAATAACTGCTGGAACAATACAATTTGGGCCGCAGCCTGTTTCCATCACAGGGGAAATCCTGCTGCCTGGACAACCACTGATAGGAGTAAGATGAGAGGGAGAGAGGGAGAGAAGAGAAAGGCTAACTGTGGGGGGGCTGTAAGTGGAGGACATGTGGGATCCAGTCCAGAGGGAAAAACAGTACAGAGGTGCAAGTCAGGAGAGAGGGGAAGAAGACAGTGGTTTAAAAAGAGTCCACAAGAAGCAAGGGTAGATGGGAGGAAAGGCTAAAGACAACTCAGAAGAAAGTGTACCACCTCAGGTCAGGATACAGCTGAGCAGGAACTTGTTATTTGAAAAACACGTAGTGTGAGCCATTATTCATCTTGAAATTAGGATACTGATCCAGATAAATTAATGTAAAAAGTACTTGAATCATAAGATCTGTCGAATGAAATAAAAACAAGGTGTTTTAAACATTTATAAAGTCATAATTGAGCATGCAGCACCTTTGAATAATATATTATTGTCTACACCTAAAACCAGTCAGTTGGATTTCCATGAAGTATGTTTTAGATGTTCACGGTCCCCAGAGGATAAATCCTAATCACTTTGGTAATTCTCTGATTTATCCTCAGTCTAGGGATATCAGCATTTCGAAGTTTACACATAAATATACCTGAAGGATTGGCAGGGAATTGTATACAAACGATCTGGGTTCCCATGATGGACCCCAAAGACTTTGTTTGACTTAAGTGGTTTTAAGTGATATAACTATTGTAATGATTGCAAGTTAATTTGGTACAAACATGGATGTACAAGTCAGGATAAATTGGCATAACTTTGCTGATCCCATGATTAGTTTGAACTAGCGCCATCATTATGTTACATTTTTTTATTATTTAAGCCATATTATATCATACAGATTTTGTATAAGATTATGGGTTATAGGTTTTCCACAGATGGAAAGTACTAAGTAAGTGTTCCTGCTCCCTATCCATCAATCCCATTGCATATATTTTTCCAACGTGTTGAAACCTCACTTCCCAGAGTCCTGCAAAACTGCAGTGAGCTCCACCAACCTAAAATAATTAAATTAGAACAGCGAGTCTCAAAAAAACGGACCCTGTTTAACTCGTGGCAGTGAATCGGTCTTAATTAGAGAAATATGGCCTGCAGCCTGACAAAGAATCACTATACCTTTAATATAAGACAGATTCTTACAAAAAATCATACTAAACTTGTTATTTGAATACTTGGATGTGGCCTCTTTTTGAAACATTTCTCAACTGTTAACAATCGACTTCTCCCCTCATAGGCCTCTGCCGCTTCATGCACGGACAACAAGTACTGCATGTGACCACAAGTGACCAAATATCCAGCAGCAGGAAATCCTAACTTCACGTTGTGTGTAGTGACTTTAACAGAAGTCTTCCTCCATGCACATTCTCCCATACATTCCTACAAAGAAAATTACTTTGGCAAACTACTATGCTGTGCATGGTTACCCCTTAATAACGTTAAGCAAAGCACAGGGAAGAAAAGCAGACCCAATTTATTCAGCGCTGCAGCCATATTGAAACATTTAAGGGTTCTGTATTGAACATTATTTAAAAGTATATAAATATACCAAGGTCCTACGTTGTGCCATGGGATTTTACTTTGAAAAGAGCTTTAATTTTAACAAGATAATACATTTAAATTACATCTTGGTTTGTACCCTTACTTAATTTGTCTATTTGGGACAACGAGGATCCCTGCTGTCAGGTGCGAGGCACAAGAACTCATACTTATGATTATTTAATGTGCTTTAATTCAGAAGAAAATCAGTCATGAATAGACTAATGAGTAAAAAGTGGATAAATATTTCAAACTGTTACATTTGATCATTGAGTGTAAACAAGTACCTTAACAACTTGTCCTTATTCTGCTTTCTCTCATTTTGTCCCAGAGTAATAGATATGAAAGTGCGACAAAGTGGATGTAAGGAAAATGAAAGGATAAGAAAGACTGTAAGGAAAAATTGAGAAATGGAGAAAAAAATCCTTTAAAATAGGTTTGTTATATGCCATGTCAGTCCAAAAACCCTTTATGTGACCCAACTTAACCTTTTAGTGTATGCATTACCGTATAAATTAAAACAATCTTCTCTCATGCAGTTCAATCAAAACATAAACTGCAAACGATCAGTTAAGTAAACGAGTTGGATCAGCTTACATCCAGCCCTATTGATGGCAGTGGTTTGACATATACAACAGTACATAAAGACAACATTAGTAGCCATAAAAAGTCAAACTGTGGTGGTGTTTTACGATCAGGTTCATCCTCCTAAGGTGCCTTTCTGAGCCAGCCAGCGCCAGGGGACTGATTTACTTGTCACACAAGGGGGACATATTTAGACGTGCTGTGCTGGAGATAGTAGGCGGTAAAGCTGGCAGGGCAGAAAATGACCCAGACAGTGGGAGTGTGGAGGACTAGAGGCGAACACGTAAGACACACACGATAACCTCCTGCCATTAAACCAGCTGTGATTTCTGACCAAAGGCCAAGGGACAATGGACTGCAGTACACTAATTACACACCCTGACATGGATAATAGGAAATGTACTTTCTCTTTATGAGGACGAACCATAGGACGAACAGACGTCGGTAGATCTATCTTTTACAATTTGTAGTTGTAGCAGAAATAAAAGGGTCGTTAATGTAGCTTTTCAGACGCTGCTATATGCTGTGGTAAAAGTAAAAAAGTGCTATTAAATCTGTCTCCTAATGACCGCAGAGAGGAAATACTGGTACCAAAGTACATGACTCAATAAAATGGACTTGGCTTTACACTTCACGTAAATAAAAAAGCTTTAAAGCATTTCTTATAAGTAATTATGTCTATGTTTACATGAACCTGCCTAGGTGTCAAGTTTTAACTCCCACCCATTAAAAATACTGTTTTTGTGTAGTGCTATACAAGACTATTTATAAGGGACCACCAACCAGAGACCACCATGTTGTCCCAGACTGAGAAACAAAATGTCGAGTCGACTTTCCACGATGAGTGCATTATGCACACGGAAAAATATATAGTCTTTTTCATATAAAGGATTTAATATTCAATCTTTTTTTTAATGTTTAGCTTTCAACTTTCTTACCATAGACTGCATAAATAACGGTTCCAACCCAAATAAATTAAAGCTACAATTCAGCTGTAATATAGACATTTTCCAGAATAGAAGATAGAAAAGGATACACTGAACCCTATAATCTATTCATGTAATTTTATATTTTTAATAAAAAGGCTACTATAAAGGTGGTTAATAGTGAGGTAACTTAATAAATAGAATAGAAAAGCCATTATCCTTTACTTTGTTACAAAATGGCATTTCAAAGTCAGGCTAAGCTGGCAAATCTTCATTTTGTGAGAATGTTTGTTTTAACTGTCTCAAATATAATGCTTTGAAGCCATATAAACTCTTGGAACTATTGGAAACACTATTGGAAGGATAGAAAAGGAGTGTAATTTGTCATTCACTGTTGTTATAAAAGCAAGATTGATTTTCAAATATATGTTCAGAGAAAATAGAAAGTTTAACTTTAATTTACTGTAAAAAATAACCACAACTAGAACAAATATAATGTAATGATGTAGGCCTTAATCATTCTATGAAATTGATCATTCAACTTACTTTAAATGGCCTTACAAATATAATTGAAAAGGGTTAATACAGTTTTGTTATACTTGTTTATGTATGTATATAAACATCCAGAGAATATATAAATAAGCAGTGAATTATACATGCACATTTTTTGATTATCGTTTTCATTATTGTTAGGCTATAATTAGTACTTTTTCATTCATTTATACCTTAGGAAGAAACTGTGAAAATAAGAATATTTATAAGCCTTCAACACACAACATGTCAAATTTAATGATTAAACAAATAGAAATACAAACAAGGAAGAAATATTAAAATAGGTTAAGAAGTAGCGTACAGTATAATAAATAAACTAGTCTATTGCACACCTAATGTTTATAAAATAAACGAAATAACTGGTGGTAAGAAAAGGGAGGTACAGCAGCAGCACTGGCTGTCCCGGTCGCCAGTCACTGACAGTAAAGCGGGTAACAAGATATTCAAACTCAATACGTCATCCCACAATGCACTGCGTTTACGCTCTCCTTGCAGCATTACCTAATCCCACAATCCACCGCGGGTTTAAGAATCTTCTGGTTGGTAGTCAAGGCAACGCGCCTTATCGGGAGGGCCGGACTCCGCCCACGACACGCCCCTCAGCCAATGGGAGAGCCCTGTCATGACATAATGCCTATTTTTAGAGAGGCAGCAGCAGCAGATAAGGTTTGCCTCCACGCTGCTCAGCTCAGAGTATATACACACCCAGGCAGAGCAGGAACCACAGACAGGGTCGGTGCCTGACAAGAGAACTTCATTCACTGACTCAAAACTAGTCTGGATACTTGGCGAAAGCTTTTCTACCATAGCTAAGAGCTAAGTCCAGCACACTCAAAGTTTGGACGTCTTTACGCACAGAGAGGACGTTTGGAAACCGGTGTTTTTCCCTGAAAAGGAGGGGAACGAAAACGTATTTTGATAAAGACTTTTTAGCTACGTTGGCTTCTCTTCCATGTATGCCAAGATGGAAACTACTTTTTATGACGACTCGCTCAACGCTTTCTCCCAGCAAGACAACGCCGTCTACGGATACAGCAATCCCAAAGCGCTGAAACACAACATGACACTTAACCTCTCCGATCCGACGGGCACTCTGAAACCTCAACTCCGCGCCAAAGCCAGCGACATTCTCACATCCCCTGATGTGGGCTTGTTGAAGCTGGCCTCCCCGGAGCTGGAGCGGCTTATCATCCAGTCCAGCAACGGACTCATCACCACCACGCCGACTCCTACACAGTTCATGTGTCCCAAGAATGTCACCGATGAGCAGGAAGGCTTCGCCGAGGGGTTTGTCCGGGCCCTGGCTGAGCTCCACCACCAACACATGCCTGGCACTCTGAATGTCACCTCAGCTTCTCAGACTAGTGTCAACACTTCCCTGCCGCCTGTGTCATCTGTTGCCGGTGCCACCGTTTACAACAACAACATAGCCATGCGCTCGGACTCGCCTGTTTATGAGGACTTGGACACTTTTAACCCGGCACCAAATTACACCACCTCAGCCCCTGTGATGTCCTTCTCTGCTGCCGGGCCACAGCTTCCCATCTACGGACAGCCATCCTCCAGGCTCTCGGCGCTCAAAGAGGAGCCCCAAACGGTGCCTGAGATGCCGGGGGAGACGCCTCCTCTCTCCCCGATCAACATGGAGAACCAGGAGCGCATCAAGGCCGAAAGAAAGCGAATGAGGAACCGCGTCGCTGCCTCCAAGTGCCGAAAGAGGAAGCTGGAGCGCATCTCGAGGCTGGAGGATAAAGTGAAGAATCTCAAGTCCCAGAACTCGGAGCTCTCGTCCACCGCCAACGTGTTGCGGGAGCAGGTGGCCCAGCTAAAACAGAAAGTGATGAACCACGTGAACAGCGGGTGCCAGCTCATGTTAACGCAGCAGCTCCAGACCTTCTGAGGCGGTGTCATCAGCGGCGGCGGAGAGAGGGGAGACTGTTGAAAGTAAAACGGACGCGTCCTGTGATAGTGAGTGGCCGTATCTCCTAAAAATCCG